TTCGCAAGGTAGCCAAATCTGGCATAAATACACGCAGCTTAGTACTATTGCCTTTGCAGTTGTGAAGGGCTATCGAACAAAAGAACAAACATAACAATCAGTTAAATTATGTGCTGCTGCTGTGAAATTAGCAACTTGAAACCAATGATTGTCCTCATGGTCGTGATTGTCCAGCAAAGCTCTCCATCTCAGTAGATGAGATGAGTTGTTCTGAAAATAAGATGCAGTTCCATTCATGTTATTATTGTCTATTCTTGTTTGGTAATCCCACCACATAATTGGAAACACAATAATGAATGTGATAAAAGTGAAGAAACATGATGTCCCTCTTATTCCACACAGTCCACATTACACATGCTGCTGTAAAATGTGTCCCATTATCTGAGTAGACGGAGTAGATTTCTGAGAATCCATATCTCAGAAATATTGCTGTTTTGCACGTGAACTCAGCATTGGCATTAGCAGTTGGATGAATTTCAGTGCATTTACTGAAAGCACAGACAATGACTATGTATCTATATAATGATTTTGTAATTGGTTTAGTTCAATATAGTCCATGTGTAGATGTTTAGAGGGTTCCTTTGGCATCGGAAATTAGCCTTGTCTTGTTCTTACAGCTCCTTGAGCATTATGTTTTAAACAGATTATGCACTGTTGTACATGCTTCTGTGCAGCTTTTTGAAAAATTTGAACAGTAAAAAACTTGTACTACTCCAATCATCCCTGTTGTTGTCACATGGCACTGCCCATGGGACACATGTGCAGCCCAAGAATAGAGGGACGGTGGCAGTACCGGTTTACCTGATGGAGTATGAAATAAAATACCATTTTCAGATTTAGTCATATCAGTAGTAGGTTGCATAAGAGATTGATGTTGTAGAAGAACACTATTGTCAACCTGATGTGTCGACAATAGATTAAGAGCCACATCAGTCACATGCTGTCCAGTAGCTATAGCTCTAGCAGTACAGTCTGCTAAGGCATTGCCCAGGGACACAAGATCAGTTTTAACGGTGTGTGCCGGGCAATGTACAATAGCTAAAGCTGAAGGAAGAGAGAGAGCATGGCATAAGTCTTTCAAAAGATGAGCATGCTTTACTGGACTGCCAGATGATGTGGAGAAATCACAAAGATGCCACATAGCTGTGTGTGTGCGGCAAGCATTAAAAACATATTTACTATCAGTGTAAATTGTGACTGGAAAACCGGAAGCATAGTGGAACGCCATGTACATAGCTTTTAGTTCTGCTGCTTGAGCAGAATAAGAAGATGGAAGTGTGTCTGAGAGCAACACTGAAGTAAGAGTTGTCACAGCATATGTAGTACAGGTGACACCAAAAGTGTCTTTCACAGATGAACCATCAGTAAACAACCAAAGTGAATCAGGAACTGGTTGATCTGACAGGTCTGGTCTGGGTGAATAAGTAGTCAAAGAACAGTCTAGAAAGTTATGTGGTTCATCATCTTGTGATGTAGGCAAAAGTGTAGCAGGATTCAAAGTTGTACATCTAATAACAGTCAAATGAGGCTGTGAAAGTAATGTAGTCATGCAGTGTAGATGTCGTGCAGGTGACAGAAAAGAAATACGGTTCTGATTCAGCAGTACTGAGACTGCATGTGGGACATGAAGTGTGAGAAGGTGATAAAGTACAAGGTCAGCACAAGCTATCACTGCTTCTGCAGCTGCAACAACAGCCTGTACACACGGTGGCCAGCCTGCAGCCACATTATCTAGCCGTTTGGAGTAATAGCACAATGGTCGTTGTGATGGGCCGTGTTTTTGAGTCAACACAGAAGTCGTGTCCATCTTTTGAATCACAGTAAAGGCTAAAGGGTTTGCTATAGTCAGGTAATTTTAGAGAGACTACGGATTGTAGTGCTGTTTTCAATGGAGCCATGCACCTTAAATGATCAGATTGTAATGTGATTTTAGTAGCTGGTGCAGAACTCATTGGACCTGAAAGTAAAGAATATAACGGTCTAGATAATTTGGAGTAATTTGGAATCCATTGTCTGCAATAACTAAATGTTCCAAGGAAGGACATTAGTTGTTTCATAGTTGTTGGGGCTGGCAATTTACAGTGTTGATTCTTTCTAGTGACACAGTTTTTTTTTCTGTTTATCATCTCATGGTTTGTATGGGCGACGCCCATCACTTCTGTTACCATCTTATCTTCCCCTACGTGCTCTAGCACCTTCGTTGTTGCGGTCGTTTTTTCTGTCTGCGAGGAGCTGTACATACTCTCGCAAAATGCCCTCTCCTACCGCAATTATAGCACTTGTCATTACCCTCCTCATAGTCAGAGTCATCATTCTGTTGCCATTGTTTTCTTTGCTGAGGCCTAACTCCCTGATCAGACCATTTTTTACTTGGCAATGAAACAAAAACTTGTACAGGCTTATTCTTATCTTTTTGTTTATTTGCCTGATATCTGTCCCATGCATGTTCTACATGTGCATGGAAATCTTTTAAGTAACATGTTTTCAGCGCAACGCAGGAAGTCTCAACCATGTCTCGTACAATTTTAGGCAGATAGTCCAAAAATCTGTCTTTATATAATGGATTGTAGTGGGTATCAGTTGGTTGAAGACCTGTATTGCGTTCAAAATTTGGTCAAACCTGGATTCAAATTCCTGCATGTCTTCATCATCTTTTAATTGTGGTGCATTGTTAATTCCAGCCATTGTTATGTTACTGTTTTGTTTTCAGATTAGTTGTTTATTAATCTTTTTTTAGTTACTTAGCAGCCGTGCTATTATCTGTGTTGGTTTGAGCACTAACTGAGCTAAATTAGCTTGTATTGCTATGTTAACATATGCTAATTTTTAAATCTCTGGACTCTGAATGATAATGCTAATATTATACAGGCTAATGCTAATTAGCTTAGCATTAGTTCAGCCAACTTATGCTATGCTGATTTATATCAAAAGTTCATTAAGATTTTCTAATGCTAATACTTAGCCTAATGCTATTTAGCGTAGCATTAATGCTATTTAGCTTAGCATCAATGTTTTTTAGCGTAGCATCAATGTTATATAGTTATGCTATGCTAATCTATGCTAATTAAGTAGTGCTAATTAATACCACTACTTTCCTTAGTTTTAATAGCAACTATGCTATTTAGGCCTACAGCTAATTGCTAGTTGCTAGGCTACTTCGGCTATAGTTTACCCCCTGAAGGCACACCCCTAAACTCCTCCTAGTGGGAGTGTCTTTGTTTTTGCCTTTTTCCAAATTTTTAACTATGCAGCGTTTATTTCAAAATGGCGTTTGTAATGCAAGACAAAATGGCAATTCCTTCAATATTTCGTGGACCATGTTTGGGCATACTGCATAACGTCTTGATCTTCCCATGGTCTTTTTGTAGATGTTTTTTAACTTGTTGGAGACGTTTACGCTCCTTCTTAGTTAATTCTTTGCCTTGTGTTTGTCCCATATTTTAACAAAATAATAATAATTATTAATAACTATATTGTTAATTAATAATATTATAATAATAGCAATATTTCAACAAAAGATTGTGGTCAATGATCAGTCACTCACCCACAGAAATCATCGACTGTACCAAGTTTCCGCGGTACTTAACGCACCGCAAGAACAGCTGTCACTGTGAACCAACTTTCTCAATTTTGACCACAATCAAAACAAAATAAAACACTTTAACTTTTATTGTCTCAGACTGTCTTTATATACAGTTTAATTTCTCTTGAAGACAACCATTCACACAATTCTTATTCACTCAAAACGTCTGAACGATCGTGTTCAACCTCACATCAGACACTATTAGTTTTTAGTAGGAAAGTCTGAACGGTCCCTGACCTCTCATCAGACACCATTACCTTTTTCAGGACCTACTATTCTATTTTTGACTTTCTTAACTTTGTCACTTTGCGTGTATTATACTCACTTTACTGCGCGCAGTAATTCTTTATCTTGGGATCGATGTCACCAAGCACCGCTGGATCCGTGGAAACCACCGAAGCCTCAAGTCGGCCTTTCAGTGCTGAGTTGTTGTCTCAGACCATGCATGGATTTTTGCGATGACCTCCTGGTTTTCCAATGATGTCTTGGATTTTGTTGATCTGGCTTGAAGGACCAAGTTATGTCAGGAAACTTTTTCTGTTAGATAGGACTGTATAATATGCTGTTAGTTCATACCCCAGTTTCCTAACACACAAAGATTCAAATAAAAATCAAATAAAGAATCAAATGCGAGATCTCAAAGTTTAAAAGTTTTACTTGCATCAAGGAGTGCAGAACAATGGTTACATTCAGAACTGCACTGAGAGAAACCTCAGTGCTCAAAGCTTAAATTCAGTTTTTTTTTTACACACTTCAATGGTCAGTACCTTGGCATTCCCTTGGTGTTCATGCGCCACTTCTGAGCACTGATTGGTAAGACTGCTCCAAACAAGGATTCTCCACCAATAGGAGCTTTGTGCATGTCCTGTAGTTAATCAAGTCAGATAAGACCATGCAGTTCGGATGTTTTTCTCTCTTTGTCTTTTGTTAGTCTTCCGTCGGTCTCCTTATTTGGGCAAAGAAACTAGTTCTGGTCGGTTCTGTGTTCCGTCTCTATCTCCAAGTGTAACAGTCGTTACCATTCAGTGCTGTCCATATCATCCTGTTATGTAAACCATCAGCACACCTGTTTTCAGCACTTTCCCTTTTAGTACAGCATAATAACAGCATTCAATAACAGTATAAATTGATATGGAAACTTAATACAACGAATATATTGTAAAGATTGAATAAATGTATTTACAACATCTTAACACTCTCGCTCGCTCTCTCTCTCTCGTCTGTTTTCTGAGTCATGTTCAATCAATGAGTCCAATCTGTCATTTTTTGAGTGACAGTGAAACACTTGTCCATTGTCTTGAATTAAATAAACACTGTCTTTGTGTTTAGGACAACCTGTTCTAAAATGTAGAAACTCGCTTGTCTTAAATTGTAGCCTGTTTCTGACAGTCAATTTTATGTTGTTTTTTTTTCTCAGATAATCTTTATGGTTGGACGGGGCTACCTGTCTCCAGACCTCAGTAAACTCTGTACTACCTTACCCAAATCAATGAAAAGGCTAATTATTGACTGCCTAAAGACAAAAAGAGATGAGAGGCCTCTGTTTCCACAGGTAAGTGTGAAATCTGTCTATTTAAAATCCATATAAAAATAAGGCGACGACTCGGTTTTTTGCTGTGGTGTCATTTGATAGTTTATTGTCTGAATGATTATTGTAGGTCTATAATAGTATAAAAGAACAGATCCCATTTAGAGGATATTTGTAAGCAAAGTACAGGAAATGACAATTTACCTTTTTATGTTAAGGTTTCAGAAGTTAACATCTGAGGCTAGTTCTTATGCCTCAACCTTACACTTACACATCTTTCTTTTATTCCTCAGATCTTGGTATCCATTGAGCATGTGCAAGACTTACTGCCAAAAATCGAGCGGAGTCGTTCGGAGCCGTCGCTCCACCGGGCTGTCCATGCTGAGGACCTGAATCCCCTTCTTTTCCACACCACAAGGCTGATGCCCCTGTGAGAAAACCCTGCTGCTGCGGTCACCTGTCCAACTCCACTTCATTCCTGTGTCTCAACCAGGCCACAAAATTCACATCCTGCTGGAAAGTCTAGAATGTTGATATAATCAAATCACTAAACTATTTGTTGTGATCAAAAAGACAGCACAACGGTAAAATTATTTTAAATGTTGGACAGTGTGATCATAATCCAACATTGTAATCTGTTAAACTCAGCAATGATGCCTGTTGTTCCAGGTCACCTGATAAGCTCACATACTTTAGATGCTCAGTGCAGTCGTGCTTCTTTCAAAGTATAACAATATCGGTGAGATCCATCTGCTGTGGAAGAAACATATCCTGAGTCACTTTGTTCACGATTTAGTCTTAAACTTCGTTAATAGGGAATAATTCAGCCTGTCTTCTCTCACTGACCACCAAGTGTTGTCTATTAAGCCCCGTCCCCTCCATTCTTTGCTCACAGACACAAAGGTTTTGAATTATTATATTTAAATGTGGGATGTGTTTTTTCGGATGGACCTTAAGAATGGTTGTAAAGAATCGACTTGGGTTTCAATAATCATGAAAATGTTGCTTGCTCTTTTCATGTAAGAAGCCAGTGATGCTACATGATTTTTCTCCTATGGAAAGCATTTGAAAAGTGGCATCTCTCCAGTGTTGCAGCTTTACAGAACTCTAAATATGTGGTTTATCACTTTAATGTTGGTCTCTACTTACTGACTTTTGTGTGACCGCTTACCCATTTCAGCACACTGCTCAAAATCATTCTTCAGTTGCAGGAGAGAGAGACTTTGTTGATCAGGGTGCAGAGTCCCCAGGTCCTTGTTTTCTTTCACACAAAAAGTGATGCGGAATTTTGTTAGAGGGCCTCTTTAGCTTTTTCGAGGATTACAAAGTTAATCTCGTTTGTGGCACTATTAGGAGGGGCTAATGTTCTGAAAGTTCTATCCTTACTAAAAGCAATTATAATCCAGTGTGTTTTCTGCTTTCAGTTCACAGACTTTCTAATTGATAAACTTTCTGAATGTACTCCTTACTCATCTTTACCACATTCAATTTGTGTTGATAAGATCTCCTATATTTAATATGCTTACATGCAGTGAAACTAGGGGCTGGGTACCCTGATAAATCTATTTTAACTTATACTGGTGTTTTGTGGTTTTGTTGGTGGTCCTGGTTTAGGTGTCAGTTGCAGGAGTTTGTTACAGTGAATGTTTTCGGAGCAGTAAGAGTGAAACCTTCCTCTGTCTTTGTCTTATTTACTAATATTCGCTGTTTTGGAGGTGCTCAAATGTTAAGAAAGACTGATGGGTCATTTTTAGCATCCATGTTTGGCTTCTTTGAACAGAAAGATTCTTTTACATGGTACTTTCTGTTCCATTGGATCACTCTTACCCTCATACCCTTTCACTGCAGGGCTCAGCAGCCATTTATACAAATACCCAAAGCACAAATGCAAACAGCAAACATTTAAAGACAGAGTTTCTTATACATACTCTAAAGTTATGTGTAACACATTAAAACCAAAAATATTTAAGTATATCTTACTGAATAAAAAGGAAGACAAGCTGTCTAAGTAATAACAACAGAATGTTTTTTTAAAGGCCCAGTGTGTTAGAATGAGTGAGTGTAGTGAACTCTTAGCCTAAGCCTAAATCCTTCCCTTAGAACATTCAGATGAAGTGTGTTCCATGGCACAGCCGTGCACATTCAGAACATGTCAGTCTGGTGCAGTCCTTCAATGGAACATTAACGACTGAAGTCTTGTCTCTCTTTACATTAAAATGTAAGACAATAGAGTTCGAGCCAATTGGATTAAAAACTAGAATACAATACAATAGGCAACTCATTAGAGACCTCCTCCTCAGCTGGCACTGAGGACATACATTAGGACCAAGTATTGTTTTTTGATGCCTCTGGTCTTTATTCTCTCCAATGTGTTCACTCAGTTTAAGGGAATTCAAACCAATTTTTAAAGATTAAGATGATTTTAAAACTTCGGCAGTTACTCTTCAGAATGTTAAAAAAAACAAAGCAACATCAGGATCTTTCATCTCTTCTAATAATGTCATAGCAGATTATTAAATGTGTGTTTCTTGAGCCCACTCGGACAGTACACATTACAGTTTAGCCAGCTTTATTTTGAAATGGTTAATTTGACTTTTAATGTGGACCATTTTGCTGCTGAGAGATTCCGTCAGACACCTGCAGGGAGCAATGGAGGAGGGAAAATCAGTCTTAATACAGTAATTTGTCTCAAAAGAGATGATTATGTTCAAGATGATGATGCTGTAAGAGTTGTATTTTATTTGTCTTTTTTTATATCTTTAGGTGAATTGAAAAACTTGTTAATAGTTTCAGAGGTGTCAGGGTTTTTGTTTGCAATAAATGCTTCATTCTGCTGTCTACAGTTACATTTTTTTACCAACATTTTACTTGTTTTTAGTTGTTGTGTGATGGTTTAAAAAAATTAAGTGTAAGAGAAATCTTAGTTTTTTTTTTAGTTTCTTTTTTTTGTCTTAAAATGTTGATGCAGGATTTATTCTTTAAATAAATTCAAAAGTATTGTTGATGAAGAAAATAATTTCAGCAAATATAGCAAAACAAAGTATTGATATAAGGAATAACATTTCAAAAGTAGTTAGATTTAAACTCACTGCTTATCCAGATATATACAGAGCTAAAAGCCAGGAACAAAATACATTTTAGTCCAGAAATGGCTAGGAGTAGAAACGGGCAGGTCAAATGGCCAACATAACATGATATAGTTTCAAATTTTAAGTTAGTATTTGTGAGTGAGTGAGTGATTTTGTTTCAGGAAGTGTGAAGACTGTAGGGTGGGGTTGAAAGAGGAAGTGGTTGAATTGTTAAATGTACAGCTGCAGGTGATGGGTGAAGGGTTTCACTGCAGACGAAGGAGAACAATTCTACAATGAAAAGGAGGACGAGTCACCGCGTCAGAGTAAAAACAACTGTACAGAACAGTTTTTATTAGAGCAGTTTCAAAATAGAAGCGTGAGCTGCTGCAGAAACATCACATTTTGTTATCACGAGAACACAGGAGTATTAAGGGCTGAATGTCCTACTACACTGTGTGCACAATTATTAGGCAAGTGAGTATTTTGACCATATCATTTTATCCATAATTTCGAACTCCAAGCTGTATAAAATTGAATGCTTATTGGATTTAAAGCATGATGAACACCCTATATCAAGGTGTGCATAATTATTGGGCAGATTCTTCTCAGGATAAATGGGCCAAAAAAGAGATTTAACTGACTCTGAAAAGTCAAAAATGTTCTTTTAGAGGGATGCAGCACTCTTGACATATCTAAGTTATTGGGGTGTGATCACAGAACCATCAAATATTTTATTGGAAATATTTAACAGGGTCGCAAGAAAAGTGTCGAGAAGAAAAGACGCAAATTTACTGCCAAAGATTTGAGAAGAATCAAACATGAAGCTAGCAGGAAACCATTAACCTCCAGTGCTGCCATATTCCACAACTGCAACCTACCTGGAGTGTCAAGAAGTACGAGGTATTCAGTTCTCAGAGACATGGCCAAGATAAGAAAAGCTGAAACCCTACCACCTCTGAACAAGACACATAAGTTGAAACATCAAGAATGGGCCAAGAAATATCTGAAGACAGATTTTCAAAGTTTTGTGGACTGATGAGATGAGAGTGACCAGATGGATGGGCTCGTGGTTGGATCAGTAACGGACACAGAGCTCCACTTCAACTCAGACGCCAGCAAGGTGGAGGTAGGGTACTGGTATTTTTAAAGATGAGCTAGTTGGACCTTTTTGGATTGAAAATGGATGCAAAATCAACTCTCAGACCTACTGCAAATTTTTAGAAGGCACTTTCTTCAAGCAGTGGTACAGGAAAAAGTCTGCATCTTTTAAGAAGACTGATTTTTATGCAAGACAACGCTCCATCACATGCATCAAAGTACTCCACTGCGTGGCTGGCCAGTAAGGGCCTTAAAGATGAAAAACTAATGACATGGCCCCCTTCTTCACCTTACTTAAACCCTATTTAGAACTTTTGGGCCCTTCTTAGGCAGGAAATTGACAGTGAAGATAAATAGTACACCTCTCTGAACAGTGTCTGGGAGGCTGTGGTTGCGGCTGCACATAAAGTTAATTCTGACCATCAAGAAACTGACTGACTCCGTGAATGGAAGGCTTGCGACTGTTATCGAAATAATGGGTGGCTATATTGGTCACTGAGGGTTTTTTTTTTTAATTTTAGAAATGTTTATTTGTAAATTTTGAGTTTATTATTCTCACTTTAACAAGTAAAAATAAACAAGTGAGATGGGAAAATCTTTGTTTTTCATTTAGTTGCTTAATAATTCTGCACACTAATAGTTGCCTAATAATGGTGTACATGTAGAAATTGTCTTAAGAAAGCCAAAACTTCACTTTTACTACTTAAATGTTCAAGTTTGAGGGTTTGTTAACATTTTGGATTGACCAAGTGTTGGAAGAATTTAATTTATTATCATTGCTTCATGCTGTACTGTCACTTTAAGAAACTGTTTGCTTCTCATATCTAGTGTGCTCAAGACTGATGGAGAAATTTCCAGACACAGTAGCACTGTAGTTGTACAATAACAAAATGAATCCTCAAAAATACAACTTGCCTAATAATTGTGCACACAGTGTATATAGGATGTGTTGTATATTTAGACACTACAGATAAACATAATGTAGGTTGTAAATGCAATAAAGAGTGATTAATTACAAAAACACAGAGGTTGACAGTGTGAGGAAAACACAAATGATATAACTTCCTTTGTTCGATTCCTTTGTCCTATAAGTGGACGTCATCTATATATATCTATAACTTGTACCCCAGCCCTGATTTGCTGATGTGGCAGTAGAGCGTCATAGCAAAACACATTCCCAACACCTGTGACAGACCAGAACAAAAACATTTTTATTGTTGTGTTGTGTGTAAATAGTACTTGTACTTCCAATTATGATGAAGACATTCATACATTAAAATTTAGGAGATTAATGTACTGGTTTAAAATGTATTGTTAAATCCGGCTCTTGCAGAGTTAAGGCTAAGAGTCTTTCTATGTACAGTAGAAAAAAAAGTTCATCTGTAGTACAAGAACTTGCTCTGACCCTATCTTACCTCAATGACACAGAGGGCAATGACAGAGATTCCTATTGTCAGAAAATTATCCTCCACCCATATCTTCAATTTTTTATAACATCCCTGAGAACAGAGAAAAAAAAACAACAAATGTCATTACATTTTACAAAGTTAAATTGGAGGAACTGAACTCTAGTTATGGCACAGATCACGTGACAGTAATTATCTGGAAAGATTTTTATAACTATAAAACAGCAGGCTGTTGCCCACCACAACTTCCATTCCTACCTTCTCTCTGAATGGAGGTCTGGGAATTGTACATTGGCTCTTGCAGCAGGATGTAGGAACTTTGTTTCCCCAGTCAGACTCGTTCTTGACTCCACAGCAATCAAACTGAAAGAAATGGAAAGAATCGGTGAACTGCTATCACCTTTATTTTTCATCATCATCACTGTCATCATGACAGTGTCAGCACATATGTCAAACTGTCTTTGGTTTTCTTTTCCTAGTTATTGTAGCGATAGCCTCACACTCATTTCATCTACTGATCTTCAAAACTTTAGCTTTGAAAATAAAAATGTTTTAATGCTGACTTTTCTTTGGTACTAATATCCATTCCGTATGTCCTTAGCAGTACATTTAACTAAACAGTGACTACTTGTTATTCAGTGTCCAGTGTACTATGGTGTACATGGTGTTAACGTAAGTATCTCACATTCTTCTGGAGTAGATCCCACTCATTCAGTATTGTTGAATTCTTTGCTTTTCCATTTTTTACCTCCTCCAAACCTTTGACGAGCGTCTCTTCAACCACTGACTCAATCTGAGGAGAGAGGTGGGGTCAGGATTTCAAATGTTTTCTGGTAGAAGTTTCATGTGGTGAAACCTGCTCCCACCTTTCCATCAGACACCAGCAGCAAACAGGCTGCTGTCAACTCCACCACCATCAGGAGAAACAGCAGCAGGAAGTACTGTCAACAACCACAGAGGAGATCTGTGATTTACATACATCTTTGTGGATCCTGTGTGTGTTTGGTTGTACGTGTTTGTTTGTGTGTGTTACCATGAGGAGCAGACAGCGGTTCTCCTTCAAAGCTCCCAGAAACCCCAGGAAGGAGACACAGGTGATGATGATTCCACTGACCATCAGCATATTAGCAATGTTAAAGTTAGCTAACTCTGGTATGAGGGCAACCACTCGGAATTTCGCCATCAAGTAGATACCAAAACTCAACACTGACACACCACACATCTGAAACCAGGAGGAGACAATGGGCTCAACTTAAAGGTCTGATGGATCACAGAGTGTAACATGTACATGATGCTTTGGTTCATGCATTTTCCAAATGTGTCAAAAGAAATATGTCAATTAAAAACCAACAAAAAGACAAGGACTGATTGAAACATTGGACTTGAGTTAACGTTAGGACTACCGAAAGATCACCAACTACATACACCTTGTGGGCCAGACACTCAAATATAATGAAATAAAAATCACACTTTTTTCAAATTAAGTCATAAATGGTGGGGATTACTGATAGTTATTTAAGTCTCAGTTGTTGTTTTTTGCAGTTGCCGTAGAAGGTGTTTTACACAAGTTAACAGCACTGTGTTGGTCATATCACTGTGTCATACGTACGAAGCACAGGAAGTTGGTGACACACATGGTGTACTTTAAACACTTGAGGCAGCCGTGAGCCATGGAGCCACACTACTGATCAGACCTGTGAACATAGAGTTAACAAGAGCTCAGCCAAGAATTTCAATTACTTTTAGAAAAATAATTTAGTTCCACAAGTAACAGGTCACTTACAGTATATATATATATATATATATATATATATATATATGTATGTGTGTGTGTGTGTTTGTGTGTGTGTGTGTGTGTGTGTGTGTGTGTATACTGTATATAAATGCCACAAATTACAAGTAAAATGAAGTGAAACTGAAGGCAGCAGTGTGTGTGTGTGTGTTCCTTCCTGCAGTCACATTACAAGAAGAAAGTACACCAACCCTAAAATAAACTTCTTATTTATTCACGGTTTGAATAATTCTAACAGTGAGTCATTGATGACATCACAGCTGTTGCAGCCATTAAAAATCTTCACAAAAGTACCTGGACTACCATCTAAACAATTAATAGAAAAAAATGACTTCTCAAAAAACGTCTCACAGTTTGTCAGAAATCATTGTTGTCAGAACGCAGTTTGTCAAATCAAGAAAATGTTTATTTTTTAAAATGTTACAAATATTTGTCAACAAAAACATCTAATGTAATAATTTATTTTTCTGCCGTGTGTTGACACATGCAAACATTGTACTTTAGACATGAAATGACAGCTTAATTCTAAATTAAATCAAAACCTGTGTATCGTTGTTAAAATGGTTTAATATAAAAAAATCCATGTTAAATATGGCAGTACGTATGACAAAGTGAAAAAAGGTGTCTATTCTTAATTTTATTTCATAATGAACAGTAGTTATTATCATGTTTTATCTAATAACAAGAATAATGATTGATATGCATTTATAATTAAAATGATGAAGTATAAATACGTATATAAAGACTGTCATTCATTTTTTTAAATGTTTATGCTTTTGTAGTCAGTGTTTTTTATTTTTTAGTTTGATTAATTATCAATTTGGTAACATTTTTATGTATTTTTTATTTTATTTTGTAAATTTCAAATGCATAATTAGCTATTTTGTTTTTATTGCAAATATTTATAATTATTATTTTCAAAATGTTTATTTTATATTTTTCTTCTTTAAATATGCTGAGCAAAATATAATATTTTGCATTTTATTGTATTCAATAATATCACCATGGAGATGGAATTTAAATTCCTCTTTATGTTCAGCACATACTTTTAAATCAACAATAAAAAATACTTAAATCGTTGAATCTACACAATTTTGTGTTTTTAATTGTTCAATTTTGTTTACTATAACATATATTGTTTTAACATCTTAAGGATTAATATAAATACATGAGACAAAGTGTTTTTTCGGTTTAATTATTGGCAGTTCATATTAAAACTTATTCTAAAGTTTCAGCGTTAACACACTGGATTGATTTTCTAAGTTTAACAACGCTTTTTTTGGAATCTCTTGTCAACATATTTTTACATCACAAAAACACTCTACCAACAGAAACATTAGAACTTTACTTTAAAAAAATGTAATAAAGCCAAATTGAGGTCTTACCCGTGTAAAAGAATAAGAAAAACACGTAGATTGATGTTGTTTTCACCTCAGAGCTCTGTTCCCCTGCTACAGTTACTGTCCCTCACTTCCCCTTCGCTCTCTGTTTCTTCTGCTCCATAAGGGGTTTTCAGCAGAAACACTCACTTCCTGTTTCTGAAGATGTACATACATGGAAACCTCATTGACCAATGATGTGCAGCAGAGAACAGGCTAAATCAAGGCACTTGTCTGTGTCCAAAAAGAATAAAAATATAAATGTAGAAGTCCAGAATGGAGGCTGGTGTTGTCACAGAAAGACAGACTCTACCATTAAATATTAAATATATATTTACATATAAACTATATATGTATATGTGTGTGTGTGTATATATACATAATGTTGATTTACTGGTTTTATTGTATGTTATTGTTATTTTTATCACTATTATCACAAGTGTATATGTACACATATCAGGGGGGAAAAAATCACTATTCCACCATGACATAACATTACATCACAGTACTAATAAGGCAGCTTTCATTACTGTTTCCATTCAAACCAGTTGTCTGACATATTTTGTGTTGGCTTTAAAGTAAAGGTTACGTAGAAAACAAACTCTATGTCACCATGTTTGTTTTTAGTTCCTTAAAGTCTCAAAATGTTGCGCAGCATAAATTAATGCAGTCGAAAACCACACATTTACAAATGTCCTGAAGAGGCCAGGACTGTGGTGGACTAACACGCCAACATGTGAGTGTCAGGTTTATTCTAACATAAATGACGACAAAGTAAACAACACAAAAGACGTCTGGATCTTTTTCTTGCAAGGGGAGAGTGCAGCTTACTCTTCTGGCAGCTTCCTCATCAACTCCGAGTTGCTGCACCCTTCCTCTGCTTTTTATTTAGTTTATAAAAGTATCAGATTACATAACATTTGATCTTGTGTGAGTACATGGAGTAAGAAGCTGGAAGTGAAAATGGGTGGGAATGGGGTGTGGCAAGGTAAAGATGAGAAGCAAGCAGTTTCTTAAAGCGACAGTAACACACTGGAGTAAATATGGGAAGCAAGCAGTTTGTTAAAGCGACAGTACAGCATGAAGCAATGATAATAAATGAAATTCTTCCAACAGTGAGTTTGTCTGTAGTTTTGTGTAAAACATTTATTAATTTGTCTTTTAAAAGTTTCGTTTGGTGACATTGCGGTTTTGCTACTCAAATGAAAACACGTATGTTTTTAGTTTTGTGCGCAATGACAATGTTTTAACTTTTTTTGCCGAGTTAGCTCGGTCTAGGGAGGTACAGTATGAAGGGATTAATGAGCTGATGCACCTGTTTTATTACCTGTGCTGTTGTTGAACAAGGGCGCAAGATCAATACACACTCTCCCACTCACTCACACACGCAAGGCTAAAAAGGAAGACTGTACAGAAGAACCTGACAAAATCTTCTACCACTCATTAGTGAATCCTCGAGAAAGGACAGAAAACAATCTGGTTGTTTTTAAAGTAAAATGTCAAATTATTCTTCTGACTTTAATCATAACATTAACAAGTGATCTCAAACGCTGTTTCCAGGTCCATAGGAAATTATGTTTGTTGTGTAAAATATTATTACAATTTTATGACAAAGTGAGGGGAAAACAGATACTGTTGTATTAAAGTAGTTCAAAGGTGAATATTTCTGAACATTAGATGTGTGACAAAAGTGAATTATTTGTCATTGTGACACAGAACCCCACTGCACACACAACGAAATGTGACCTCTGTTTTTAACCATCACCAAAGTAAACAGTGGGCAGCTTATAAGCACCCAGGGAGCAGTGTGTGGGGACAGTGTCATGTTCAGAGCACCTCATTGGTAACTTGGCAGCTGGTGGACGCAAACCAGAAGCCTTCCAGACCCAAGTCCACTTTCTTAATCACTAAGCCACCACTGCCCTTGATAACTACGTTTTCTAGATGTAAGCCACACCCAGCTGAAGCGGTTGTTTGTACCTTTTTAACTTTCATCAATAGGCTCTGATGAGTGCACCTCTCACTGAGCTGCAGCAAATTGACACTGCTGCCATTTTAGATTTGAAATGGTAAGCAAATTAAAAAGCAGTAGCTGCTTCAGGAGAGGTTCAGCTGTATGCCATGTTGCTGAATCAGGTCAGAAGTAAAGAAGAATCATAGACAATAATGGTTCATGTCATTTCATTTGATGTTTTCTTTTTTTTACTGTTGTTTGTCTGCACTCATGACTGTGTATAGTGTATGACATAGTCTAAAGGCTCTTCACAGTTCGGAGGTGGGTCCACAGCGGCTGGTCCTGTCATTGGACTGGTCAAATGGACGCATGAATGGGACTAGATATTTTAGAGCTAAAACAGTTTCAGCTAAATGCAGTCTAGAAATAAACTCAAAGTAGCATGAAATTCATTTAAATAATTAACTTGAAAATGATTAAGAATCTTCTGAACTTTTCCCTGATTGTGTGATGGCAGTAGTAGCAGTAGTGAGGATGTTCGGCTGGTCTGCAGTGAATCGGCTGGCTGCGTCAGTGTTCAGACTATGGCTGAAGATTCTCTGATGACTCTTTCTCAGTGGCCAGCTCACAACTTTGAGGCCTGGATCTCTGCGTTCTCCTACTGGGACTGCTGGTTTACTCTGGTAATTCAACTAATTTCCATTTTATTTTCCTTCTCTGATCAATTCACTCAAACATAAAACATTTTGGTGTCACCTTAACTGCTTTGTCTCTACTGTCCTGGAGGTGATGACTGTAAGCTAAAAGGCTGGGCCCTGAGGGTTGGTCCCTCTTGTCCCATTCTGACCAGTAAACGGTGAATGTTGCTTATGTGGATTTTTCTTTGCAATAAAGCCAATCTTAATTTATTTTCTGTACTTTTTTTTAAAGGCACTCAATGGGAGTATGCACTCTTCAGAGCAGCCCTCATCGAGAACACATCCTGGCTACAGGCAGGTACGTATCACAGTGACCCTCAGAGAATGAGACATTAATCATTCAGGTCTTGAAGAAAAAAGATTTTTTTGGTAATAGCTTACTGTTGAGATATTGTAAATACATTTATTCAATCTTTACAATATATTCATTATATTAAGTTTCCATATCAATTTATACTGTTATTGAATGCTGTTGTTATGCTGTACTAAAAGGAGAAGCACTGAAGAAAGATGTATGCTGATGGTTTACAACAGGATGGTGTATGATACTGATGCCACTGATTGTTATGCTTGGCGATAGAGACAGGTCACGGAACTGGCCTGAACCAGTTTCTCTGCCCAAATACTGAGGAAAACAGAACATCAAAAAGGAAAAGAATCCAAAGTGCATGTCTTTGATCTAACATGTACATGTTTTCTATTGGTAGACCATAAGGTGAACCCGATTATCGTTTCATCTTGCGCCGACGTCTGGGAACTACACAATCTCAACTTCATAAATAAGAACGAGTTACGTTAAACTTACAGCAAAAAGTTCGTCGGAAAATATCCTGCCCGTTTCTTATATCGATGTATTTTATAAAGAACTAGCGTCTTCAGGGCGCAATAACATTTTGGTGCGCGAGCGGTGGCACGGTTCGACACGTGACCGTGCTACACCAATCGAGTAGCTGATTGATGTCAACACTTCCGGCAACACAGTTTCCTACGTGGTTCTACTTAACGATAGAGAGGAATTCTCCCAAAAGTCTTCTAAAGTGGGCCAAATGGATTCCAAACAGTGCTTTATACATAGCCGCCTGAATGAAGAACAATGAGGCAAATAGACGATAATATGAACTTTCTCTGTTAAGTCATTTTGATCAATAAAAGGAAGTAATCAATGACAAGGACCATTTGTTTATTCATTCGTTGATTCGCTAACGAAATGCAACACTGATCAATCATAAAAAAACGTATTCTTCTTTTTCTTTCGGCTTTGTCCCTTTTTTTCAGGGGTTGCCACAGCAAATCATTGATTTCCATCTCTCCCTGTTCTCTGCATCTTCTACTCTGACTCCAACTATCTGCATGTCCTCCCTCACTACATCCATATATCGCCTCTTTGGCCTTCCTCTCTTTCTCCTACCTGGTAGCTCCATCTCTAACATTCTTCTACCAATGTATCCACTGTCCCTCCTCTGCACATGTCCAAACCATCTCAATCTGGCTTCTCTAGCCTTTTCTCCAAACCTTCCTGTCTGTGTTGTCCCTCTAATGACCATTCCTGATCCTGTCCATTCTTGTCACTCCTAAAGACAATCTTAGCATCTTTAACTCTGCCACCTCCAGCTCCTCCTCCTGTCTTCTGCCTATTGCTACTGTCTCTAAAACATACATCATTTTATTTGTATTAATACAATAATAATAATAATAATAATATAAGTAACGTGATGT